GTTTGAATATAAGCGTAACTCCAATTTAGATAATTTTAGAGTGATAAGCGTCACGTCACAAAAAAACTGTTGACATGAAAAAAAATATACTCGGTATATTTAATGTAATACGCATTTATTTTTTAATTTTCTTTGTAACGGAAAGTATATTCTGACAGGAGTTTCAAATAAAAACAAATATTAATGCATTGCTTAGTAGAAAATGATCATGGTACATAATTTTCAAAAAATACTGTAGAATACTTTATTTTTGCTTGGAATTTATTTTTGCTGAAGGGATGATTCCGTGAAAATAAAATCCAGTGAATTTACTTTTTTTTCTATATTTTACATTAAACTCATCAAAAATCAGTGAAAATAAATTTCATACCAAACGCCCAAAAAGCCTTTTCAGTGAAAATTAATTCCAGTGAAAATAAAGTATTCCACATTTAAGACATTTAATTGTAATCTTTCTACTTTTTTCTTTGCATGCTCATGGATGGGGATGCAAAAATGAATGGGGACTATTTCATTGACAATGCCTTGGTCTTTAAATGTTTTATCCGAGTGACATTCTCAGAATTAAAATTATAGAATATTTACCACTGACATATATTTTATTAAAATATTTTTTTACCTCATAGATGGTAGTTTGAAGAAATTTATAGATGATACTGAAAAGATGAGTCCTGCAGAGCGTGCTGAATACTTGGAAAAAGATGAAAGCATATCTGCTGCTCATGAAAGTAGTGCCCAAGAAGGCCAAACTGAGGTAATGCAAGAATAATCTAATCAGACGATACACGAGTGTCAACAGAATATCTAACAAAATTTCTAAAATAAAAAATTTGACCTTTAAACTCGGTCTCACTCTAGGAACAGACTGAATTTCCTTCTAGCACTGACCGTACAGATAATTATTCACACCTTTTAGACAATAAACTGAAAAACCATTTAGTTTCACAGACATTTAATTCCACTACTTTGATGTTTTGAGCATATTCACTGGGTTTTAATTTCATGAACTTGTCATGGAAACAATGAGTTTTATTTTTATGTTTACGTAGATTTAATTTAGATATTAATTATTAGCGAAAATTGCAAACTTGAAACTTATTAAATAATTAATGCAATAATACAATTACTGTAGCCATGCATATCATTAATGCTGCTCAGAACACCCAACACAAACAAAAAAGTGACAGTGAACAGGGAATGAAATGATTCATAACTGAGATTATTTTTAAGTAAAAAAATCATTACCCCACCATATTAAACTAACTTCAACCTATCCAAAACATTTACTAATACCGCAAATAGTTCTACCTGTTTCCAGACTCCAGACTGCAGAGTCTAGAGACTGATGCATTTTATTAGATTTTGAATTTGGTTTTAATTAAAAAAAAATGTTGAAGTTCAGTAGAACATAATTTTGAAAATAGTTTAATTTTATGTAAACCATGTTCAACTATATAGGCTAACTTTTCTATTCATTATGTTATGCTGCTGTGACTAAAAAAAAAA